TCAGTCTTATTCAAATACTGGATAATTTACATAAGCTTGTTTGAATACCGTTTCAACTATATTTTTGTCCTAATATTTTGACTGTGACCAATCGTGAAAGTTTAAAGTTGCATTAAGTAACCAAGTTAATTAATTCAGAATTTGTCTGAGTGTATATTTTATGACGTCCATAAAATATTTTACTTTATTGTTTTGTAAAGTAATCTTTTTTTTAAATTAAAAGTGGGCATTTATTTTTGAAAAGTATTTTCATACATTAACAATAAGTATATTTATATCAGTACTAATTTGAACAAAAACAATTTGACATTTAATGACAAGAAAAGAAACCGGAAACTCATTAGAAAGTATCTAGTCTTAAAGTGGAATGTCATCATTTATTAGCAAAAGACAATGTTAATGTATTCTGTCACAAACACAGCATCAACCCAACATAAACAACATTTTTCCAGCAAGAATAAAATAATTAACGAACAAATGATGAAAAATGGACGAAATAAGTTTGTGGTGGCTTAGGTGTCCCGGGGAACGTTATCTGCTTGGTTGATCTTTATTCACGTTTTTATTGGTATGATCGTATGTATTAAAATGTGACACTACCCACCAGCATGCTTGTAATGTCCGTCCTAAAAACATTGTTAAACTCAACATTCAATGATAAATATTTACCATGTAAATAAAACATATTTATATCAACTGGATTTGTAAAGATGCAGTGGTGTGTCATGCATGCGTAAAACTACGATGCATACAATCTTTTTATTTTATGAGCTGAAATTTCACGTTTTTCGCGACAATATTGCAGATGCTCTCATAATTATTTGAACAGTTTATTTTGATATTGCACTACAGACAGAATTGATATTGAAGCATGAAATGTAAATTAAAAGTAGTCCTTTGCATAAAAATTGATTCTCTCAAAATGCTTCATGAGAAGTAATTAATTTTATAAAATAAGTTATACAATTTTAATGCTTCCGAGGGATCATACTTTATCCAGATTTATATAATTCACAACAGCAGGTGTCAAGTGCTGTGTGGCAGCTGTAAAAAGTTAACCCGTATTTCACTTCAGTGTTGTTATATTTAACCCGTACTTCATTTTAGTGTTGTTATATTTTTCTTGTCCTTTGGAACCATTGATTCCACCAGTTTAAAGTGTTGAAAATTGAGTGCCGCCTAAGCCGGTGCTAGGGGCGTGATGGATGTTGCACGTTTTCATTATAGCTCATGTACAGACTCAATAAAACCGAGTTTGCAATAATCATGTAATTTTGTTGTGATTTATACTTCTGAGGAATCACACTTTCCAGATTTCTTTTACTGTAAAGCTTGCGTTGCCTACAAGTTTGCGCTAGTTTGCGGTCGCCTCTTTTTAAAAAATTTCTTTCACATTTTTGTCTAATAAAAGAAGCTTCTACATCATTTCCTACTACGGTTGTTTTGTTTGTACGTTAATTTACAGCGTTCAATAATTTTTTAAATCAAATTATTGTACATTTGTATATAACAATTTACAGATAGAGCATTAAGAATAGTTAAACGTTAACAAACAGTGGGTATTTAATATTTGATTGATTGTAATTTGTTGTTTTGTCTTGTTAATCAGTCTTTGTTTGTTTGTTATTGTAAGTAATTTTTGTCTTTGATATTTAATTTATAAATCTATGTTAAGTTGCCTGTATATGGTATGTTATTCCAAAGATGAAATGCAAATGTTAATAAATTCTTTATCAATGGTGTTACAGATGGCAAATTCGTCGCTTGCCCTTTGAATTAATTTGCTTTGTTAATTATAATCCTTTAGAATGTCATCTAGAATTTTCTCCATATGAAAAGGAAACCATGTTTTAAAATGGAGATTTTATTGTAAGGTTTTGGGCTTTCTTTAGGGATTCTTTTTTTTTATTATCGATTTTAACATTACATACAGCCAGTCCATATATATATAGGTCTACCATCTAAAACGATAAATTAGTTCACATAACCATCCATCAAATACTCCGACTTGTCCATGACAGTTATCTTTAGATTTTTTATCCGGGGACAACTCATCCGAGAATTAGCGAGGTCAAATGTGTGTTCATCAGGTATAAATCAAGAACAATTAAGTCACAAACGGGTCCTTTGAGGTTTAGAATGGCACTTCTTCTATATGTAATTTCATTGTATTATTGCTGATAGGACGTTCTTGATAAATTTTGTATGATAAATATTCTTTATAAAGATAGAATAGATATGTATGTACATCTAAAAATAAGCATCTTCATTTTAGCGGTACTCATTATATTTCTTTACCTTATAATTGTCACGGTTCAGCGTGTTGTTTTTTTGTTTTTGTTTTTTGTTGTTGTTTTTTTTGTTGTTTTGTTTCAATGGGACATACTTCATCCATGTTTACACAATAATACACATCGTTAAGTCATTTTTTACCTTTTTTTCCCTTTGTTAAATGCCTAAACTGAACGTGATGACTGTACGAAAATGGATTTTTATTATTTCAAATTATAGACTAATACCTCTCCTTGCCATGTGTTTAAACAGAAAGTAAATTCAGAATCACAACATTCATTTCGAATGATATGCATTGTGATGAAAATTCAACAAAAATGAAAAACAAGATCAACAAGTAAAAGCGGCATTTAATTAGTGCATCCCAGCACATAGGGAGGACCAAATATATGCTCTAAAATCAAGTCATTTTCCATCCTCCAAATGATATAAATTATTTATTCAGTAACTTATTTTTTGAACAGTGATATTGTTTTTTTTTTGTTATCAGGTATACCAATATGATAACATAGAAATGGCTAGCAATAATGGTTTTCCTAAGATCTTTTGGTGAAGAATAGATATCTTTGAAATAATATGTATTTTCTGCAATTTTCTTACAATTCTCAATAAATGTGCATGAAATTCATTTGAGGTCTGTGAAAACAATTATAGTGTAACAATTAATTTGTCTGTCATCGTAGTCTGGCTGAGATAGCATGAAATTATATAGAACATTTTATGTAATACAGAAGCTATCAGAGAGACAAAATGAAATGTTGATGCAATTAGATTTTGACAAAAACGCTTTCTGTATTTTCCTCTTGATACATATTTAAGAGATAAATAAATAGTGGCATAAATGAAATAGAATGCTGAGTAACTGGGAACAGGTTATCTTGATTAATATAGCTTATTGAAGTTTCTAAATTCTTGGAAGAAATTGGATAAATAGAAGTTTGAATTTTCTGTTTAAAGTTCAGCAAACGTATGAATGTTTATCCTACGGGTATGCGTGTCAGGAAAAAAATATAACAAGCCTATAAGAAATTTGTGATTCTAATCAGATTGACAGATTTTTTCATAAATGATACTTGAATTGCAAAATGCTGACATTATGATATGTTAAAAGTAGCTACTGTATTACCACACGATCTTCATTTCTTTGTTGTTATGGTCGAGTATAGTTTTCATTTCCTAAAATTAAAAATTGATCAAATTTCAAATATGAAAATAAACAGGTTTGCTGATATGCATTTTCGTCACATAGATAAACGAATGTTATATTAATTAAAAGTACCTTTATTGTGTTTTGTTAGAGATATATATTTTGTATGAATTAATTTGTTCAAGATATGTTCTCCTGCCCTTCAGTTAATCATGTAATAGAAAGAGCACCGAAACACGAGGCTATCTGATTTGTACGAGGGGGCGTAGCCCCCGAGTATTAATCAGATTGCCGAGTGTTTTGGTGTTCTTTCTCTTTTGTATCATAGTCAAACATAAAAGCACGTTCCCTGCTGTCACACTATGAAACCCCGGCAAAAATGAACCAATGAACGAACATCTGAATATGACATTTCTCTCGCTTTCCCTTTCTCTGCCGTCACAATGTGTAAACCCCACCAAAAATGAGCCAATCGATGGGCATGCTCTGGAGTGCGGGTAACTAATACCCGCACTCCAGTTACCGCACTGTGCATGTATATGTATACGATTTAACCCTGACACATTTTCAACAGAAAGGTCTCCAAACTATGATACAATGTATGTTAACACCAACATCAGAAACACATTTTAACAAGTTAATTATATAATAGTGCCAGCTTCGCATTTTATTTAGTACATAGATTTAATCATTCCTTTACAATGATTTAATTAAACCTTTACATATTAAATTCATTTATAGTACCGTTTATTTAAACGACAGGTTTTACATATTTTTAATGTAGGTCTTATTCATTTAACGAATAAAGTAAAGATATGGTCAGATGAATGTTGAATCTCATTTCACTATGACTTGAATAATGGTGTGTATGTAAAAATGATTAGCATATTTATCAATTAAATTATTTTTACGTTGACTTTTGTTGACATCTGAAACATTTCTATCTATGACAACAATTTTGATAGAAATGAAGGATGCTATCATATATCTGTATGGTTTTGTTAATAAAAAAAATAATTTATAGATTTGCTGTTCAAACTCAACCGAAGCTTGTAATGTTATTTTTAAAAGACCTGTATGATGAAGAAAATGCAACAAATGACAACATTAAACCTTTTTAGTAACAAAACAATTCAGCTTTGATACATACTATTTTGTTTATCTATAAATGAATTAAACAAAACTAGACTGAATTTTGTTCCAATAGTCCATGGTCGTCTGCTTTACCAACTAGTGAAATATGTTTTCGGCGTCGATGTATTATAAACGTTTTGACCAATATTTTGTACCAATGAAATTTTAAGTTTAAAAGCTTTTAGTTGAGTAAAGGATATTAATCTATTACCATTGGTTAGGGGAGCAACAGTTATGATATTAAGAACACAATTACATAGTTTTAGATATACAGTCATATAATAAGCAATACAATTTATTTATATGTTGTTGTTTTTTTTGTTACAGTTCAACCATGTGTGTTTTTATGACATATATACAGTCATGCTTCGATTCGTATTTTGAAAGAGTTGCAGTATGTTGATTACTACATATAAGATCTTCACGTGATATTTTGTTTCTAATTTCAGGCGGAAGCTACTGCAATGCAACCTGGGATAGGATGCAGTGTTGGGATTACACAAAAGCAGGCGAAACTGTTTTCCAACTGTGTCCTGCATACATCACATTATCAAATCCATTAGGTAAACTGGTGGTTTGTATTTGAGAATAGGTAAAATACAAAATTTATATTAAAACATCTTCACAGCACATATTACTATAATTTCAGTTCATATTAAAAGTCTTTCAATGCTTATACAGTTTTCATTTCAATGAGTTAACCTTGTCAAACAGACTAAGTGAAGCAAGCAAAATGCATTAAAATTTATAACCTATTTTTATAATGCCAGTCCATTGTTGTATCTTTGAGGTAAAGTAAGAAATTATCTGCTAGTTTTTTCTAAGATTAAGCATTTATGACATTTATCTGTTGAGGTTTTCCTAAATTTGAATGAAATTGCTGTCGGCGAATATAGTTCTTTGGAAATGTAATCACATGTTCATCCATACACTTTGAGTATTGCTATTTCATTAATTTTGTTCACGTTTGTTGTAATATGAGAAGATAAATCATTAATATTTAACCAAGTGCGTACACTTTGATAGCTTCTGTATTTAATTAAGATTAATATTTGTTTCGTTTGGGAATCCTATTGCTGGCCTTTTACTTAAAATCACCTGATATTTCCCATTTGTAATGAACATGTCTTATATATCAAAGGTGATCCTATTGTCTTACAGTTAACATTCATTTCTTAATCTAATGCATCAAAATTTACGACTCTATCTCACAATTTAATTTCATATGAAGAAACCGAATATTCTATTTAATTTATCATTATTCTAAATTTATCTGCATTGTCTCATTTTATGTAACATTATATTCAGTGAAAGAAATTAATTATTAAAAAAGTTAAAAATGTAATAAAAATAAAATAAAAATATTATATCAAATTAAAGTGCACACATATGTCACCATTTGTTGTTCGTTTTTCTATCAACTAGTTTTTCACTTTTTTCAAGAAGAGTTTATCAGATATTTTAATATAAATCGATGTACACATAATTAAGATATTTAGTATTTATGGTATTTTTGGAAAAAAAATATTGGAAAGTTTCTCTGTTCATTTTCTTTCGTAGAGGTATAGCTTTGTATGGAAATGAGACAATTTAATTTTAATGTGTAGTGTTTTTTTAAAGATGATCCGACCTTTTTATTGATGTACATGAAAAGATAGCGCTGAACACCTTTTCTGAACATCTGAACACACATTTAATGCAATTAGAAAAAGACAGATGAATTGATTTGGCTTTGTCGTGCGGTTGTTAATACGCGTACAAAATAAGTAGTTTAAAGAAAATATTTCAGATGCACAAGCGTGCGGAATACTATACCGTCTTGATATAAGATATGTTTATGAAATTGTGTTAGAAAAGTCTCCAAAGTCACTTTTTTTTGGGAAGTCTGAACAGTAGTTAATTTGAAGTCATAGAAAATTGCAGGTCGCATCTGCAGTGCCTTCAGCACTTTGATTCTGACGAAAGTGTTTATTTTCAGCATATTCCAAGAAAACGTGCAATAGTGATGGAACATGGTTTCGACATCCAGATACCGGTAGGGTCTGGACTAACTATACCATGTGTTATGACCATAGTCTTGTAGAAGTAAGTATGTTTTCGTGTACATAAATATATGTTTATTGCACATGGATGTTGCTAGTTTTATTAAAGAATTGTAACATTGTAATATAATTATAATTACAATGTTGGCTGCTTCAAAACCTACAGGACCGTGATAAATTTAAAAACCTCAAAACCTATTGAATATTTACAAGGATTAAATATGCGCAAAAATACAGACAACTGATGAAATTAAAGCAATGTCTTGTCTGTAATGTTTGTTGACGTATAATTGCATATCAAATTTTTATAAAGGGATGTTACATTTTCTCATTATCCATAATGAACTGGCTCGGTCAATCCCAGTCTGCTATTTTCGCGTAATTTTGTTGTGATTAATGCTTCCGAGTGATCATCCTTTTTCCAGGTTTTTATAATTGGGTACATTTCAGTCGTAACGAGTCTGCAGTTTATGAAATTTTCTTGTGATCAAAGCTTCCGAGATATCCACCTTTCTCCAGATTTTTATAATTTGTAAGATGTATATTTAAGAAATAATATATCCCAAACAGTGATTTTATCGCTCAATAACATCACTGTTTGGAGTTCGGATGCGAGGAATTATATCACGAGGGCGTAGCCCGAGTGATATAATGATGCACATCCGAACGACAAACAGTGATGTTATCAAGCGATAAAATCACTAATTTGGATATATTATTTCGATTCTAACACGACATCAACAAATAAATGTTGCCGTACTTGATAGCTAAGCAAAATTGCGCCTGATTTGTTTCCGTACTTATTTTCAGCGCGTCGGATTTTTAGTGGTTACGTCGCGTGTATAATGATTACGTCACATGTCTAAATATAGAACGTCAAACTGTGCATCTGTTGCATAATAACACACACTTTCTGTTCTTCTATGTTCAATAGGGAAAAATGCGGGTCGTGTTAGAATGATATATAAACATGTGACTAACTAATTAGTCTGTTACTGTTGTGTAGTGCATTTTGTGTCTTTTGTTTTCAGAATCACAAACGAGTGCTTTACATGTATTACTATGGATTCAGCATCTCTATCGTTCTCCTTATAATATCATTGATTATATTCTCATTATTTAGGTAAGTAATATTTTATATCTATATTGTATATGTATATTTAATTTGTTTCATATTTTTTAAATATTGCATTACAATAATTAAGAATTTACTCTTTATCACTACATCTCAAGGCTTATACGTTGGTTCAGGGTTGTTATACTTTTTTGGTCCTTCGGGATCATTGATTCCATCACTTTTAAGTGTTGAAAATTGAGTAGCGCTCAAGCCGGTGCTAGGGGGCTAAGAAATTTTGCACATTTTCATAATCCCTCATGCACAGACTCACTCAAACCGAGTCTGCAATTTTCATGTAATATTTGCTGTTTTAAATGCTTTCGAAACATCACCTTTTTCCAGATTTTTATGTGAAAAGTATAAATTATATTCTTCAGAAAATCGTTTAAAACTGCTTGCCTCCAATTGAGCCAACATAAATATAAAAATAAATAAAGATTTTAAGACAAGTAGAAATATTCAGAAAACAATTGCATTTTCTGACATATTTTTTGGTAATGTTTATGTATTTTAAGTACTGTTTGCATTGTGTTTATGACTTTCTTTATTCACTTGACACTATTTTAATTTTAAATACATTTTAAAACGTTTCATGAAGTAAGCATTAATCTGGAGGCAAGCTTTAATCGTGGTTTAAATCATTATTTTTGTACTTTCAGACAATTAAAATGTACTCGCGTGACGCTACACAAACATCTTTTTTCATCATACATTATTACCGGAGGTCTTTGGATTATGTACTATGCCATGGTACCTATGAATTCCGACGTATTGTTACATAATCCGGTAAGTTAAACACTTTTATACTTGTTACATTTTCAATGACATCCAACAAAATAAGTTAATAGAATAGCTGACCTCATTACCTAATTTGAATTCAGAGTAAATGAATACAATTGCGTTACGAATGCGGATATAACGATGTTTAAGTTTGATATCTCAACGATTGTGGATTTTGCCTTGATAATAGTATAATAATAGTGTGGTTTTTGAAAGATGATGTAATCAAACTGTTAAAAAACACTTAATACGATATAAGAAATAAACAATTAAATACCATAACATGTTACCCTTATATCTTCCTCCAGCAATAAAGCTAGGGAATTGTCACAAGATATGAAAAGTGTTGCTGTGATTTCGATTCTTTTAAAATGAACAATTTAATCAACCAATTAATCAACATGTTGTACAGTGTTGGTGTGATAAGTATTAAATGAATATATCAATCAATCAACATGAAGTATTTTTATGTATTCCTGACATTCAGATTTACATTAGTCTAATGTATGTTATCCTTTACTCAGTGTCAATTTTAGATTTTCAAAAGCAAAAGCAATGATCATCGTTTTTTATTCAGCAATTAAGATTGATTTATACTTGGCGTATCGTTTCTTTGAGACACGACTGAAATATTGCCAGGCGAGATGGTGCAAATAAAGATTTCCCATTGATGCCTTAATTTCACTAAGTGTAAATTCTCTCGGGGGATCATTTCAACTGAAAAGGATGTTTGAATAGTTCAAGAAAGGGAACACTGAAAAGGCAACATGAACACAATGAAAATTGCTGTTTTTTTACTCAATATTAAATGTAGCAAGATTATAAATATGTATCTTAAGCAATCACTTTAAATATTTAACTTAAAAACTAATATTAATGAAAATTAAAGTAAACCGTGAACAAATTGTAAGTTTATAAAAACATGAGCTCTTACTGACTTGTGTACATGTTTTAGAATCATAACATCCATGCTATACCAAACAATACAATCATGTACAACAAACACTAAACATCATAATTTTGAAAGGTTCTTCAACAAAGAGTAGTATAATTAAATAAGTAAATAAGGTAATATACGCATAATTTCTTAATATATCGATTTATGTCTACACAGATCTGGTTCCAGATCCTATTGTGTTGACGCATAATTTGACCATGTGTAATTAAGCCTAAACATAATAATGATTTATGTCTACACAGATCTGGTGCCAGATGCTAAACGTACGTGTTAACACATTATTTTACGATGTGTAATTATACCTAAACATATTGATTTAAGTGTTCACAGATAAAGTTCAAGATCTTACATGTGTAAACGCATTATTTTACTATGTGTTATTATGCCTAAACATATTGATTTATGTCTGCACAGATCTGGTGCCAGATCCTACATGTGTTGACGCACTATTTCACGGTGTGTAATTATGCTTGGATGTTCTGTGAGGGATTCTATCTTCATGCCCTTATTGTTATAGCCTTCACCAAAGACAAGAGATTGCTTGTTTTATGTTACCTGATCGGATGGGGTAAGTTGAAATCAGAATGATAAAATCATCGTAGAAGATTGTTTGTGAAATTATGCAAATAGTCTTAAATTTGTTTATTCTAACTAAAGCCGGTGCTAGACCGTCGCGGATGACAACTTGCACTTTCCATTAACGTCCAAGAACAAGCTCAAACCGAGCCATCAACATTTCAATTTTGTCGTGTTGTGTGTTCTTTAGGGATTCTTTATTTCGCCCAATTTATTTGTCAGATGGTCATGCAAGAACAGATTTAATCAAACCGAGGCTGCAACCTTTTTTACATATGTAAAATAATATTTTTTAATGTCAAAACGACAAGCATGGGCGATGCTGTGTTTTCCGCGATATTTCATGTCAAATGTTTAAAATTCATTCAGGAGATGCCTCCGCTTGTTTTAGAGAAGATTTTGTTTCATTAGCAATAAAAGTGCACATTTATAGCACTAGTCTTAGGATAAAGTCTTAAACTCTTTTTATCAGTCAATGGTTTCTGTCGCTACTATATCCCGAAGGTCAAAGGTTTTAATAAAAGAGCACTTAATTTGAAATCTTGTACATTATGGACTGATCTTTAACCAATTGTAAGAGATATAAAAGTCCTTAAGTTAGTCCAATGTCGCTATAATTGAACACCTTTTAAAATCATATCAGGTGTTGTTTTATCATATTCTTTCTGTCTCCTTAGCTCTTACATTATGTTTATATCTACTAATTAGAATTCTTTAAATAGTTCTGAATTCAAACCTTTTTTCTGGCTGTGATCGCGGATTTGGTGTCTTGACATTAAATCTAACGTGTAGGCATTCATTTGTTATGCTATGCATAACATAACAATAACATAACATAGCAAAACATAGTAGTATAACAAAACACTCGACTGTTCTGCCTGTTTGATAGGAGAATAATGTGGTAATATTAAAAATAAATTGTTATGGAATATACTACATCAAGTAAAGGTTTTTACTGGCTTATTTAACCCGAGCCTGGAACATTTACTTTTTTGTCGTCTTGGGCTTTCTTTAAGGATTCCTTGGTTTTTTTTTTGTATTGTACTGAAACTCGACGCAAGTTGATTGATACATATGTATATACACTTTCCTAATGAATTATGAAGATATATTGTATTTATATTTTTTTTATATTCACAGTGTTTCCTATACTCCCGACTGTAATATATACGGTTATTAGGGCTTTGGATACTGATGATAACGTAAGGTAAATTATCTTCCCTTGGTTTTTAAACAATTTCACTTATGGTCAACAATTGATATAACGACATGTCGAACACTTATGATAGATTAGTATTCATAACATATTGTTCTTCAAAGATTTTAAGAGCTTTATAAGTAACAATAAACATATAGTGTATACTAGCAAAATTTGTTTGTTCCTTAAGAATAGTCATGCAATTATAGGGCTCTAAGGTATTTTAATAAGATGTACGTATTTGCAAAATGTTAACAGATTGATGAAAAATGTTTTAGATAATATTTTACATAAAACATTTCATTAAGAAGTGCTCTTGCAACAACAGATGATTTAGTTATGTTATATTAAAAGAATTCATTCAGTGAAAATAAATTTTACTTGGAGATAAAATAGCGTTACAAAAATTGGAAAATATTTATAGGTGTTGGACAGGAGACTCAAGTTTACATTGGATATTAGCTGGACCAATTAATGCTTCACTTATTGTAAGTATCTTATGAGTTCAATTTTTGGATTTATATTTGAAATAATGGAACTGTGCAAGATTTAGAATGATATATTTCATTTTGTAATCATAAACAATCATAGATATCACAATTATAAGGAATAGTCGTTTAAACGAATTCCTCATTTGTTCTCGATATATTAATCAATCCGTCTCAATCACGAAAAAGTAATGAAAGATGCCGGACAAAGATGAAGAAATAAGTACTGAAATAGCTATACACAATGTGTTTTGTTATATTATTCTATCATGAAACATTGATATATTGTATGCAATTTATTTATCCTTTTCAGGTGAATTTCATCTTCTCCATAAATATAATGAGAATACTTTTATCCAAACTTCGATCAGTGCACACCAATGAGACAATGCAAACAAGGTAATACGTCATCAACTTTTAATTTGATGTTAGTGTTAAGCAAATATAGAAGTATGTATACCAATTTATGTCAAGCTGCCTGTCTTAATTACTATTGAATTACTTTTGATCACTTTTTCTTTGTCGAGTTGAGCTGATTGAATATTTGTTTCAAGACTGTTACAATGATGATTGACCAATAGTTGATACTGGAAAATGTTAATGATAAAATATCATTCTGCCTAGAATATAAAATTAATTTCCTCTGAATATTTATTGAAATTTCCTTGAGCCAAGTGAGTTATTTGTCGTTCATACAAAGTAAAAATTTTGAAAGGAATTTTTGCAAATGTTAACATAGTTTGACTTTTACCTGTTCACTCACTATATACCCTTGCATGGGCATAATGTCATTTTAATCAACAGGTATTGTACATTGCAGACGAGCAGTTAGAGCCACGTTGATTCTTATTCCACTGCTTGGGCTGCAGTATATAGCCTTCCCTTTCAAACCACCCCCAGGATCAGATGGAGAATATGTTTATTCGATGATATCGGCGTTTTTAGTGTCGTTCCAGGTAAATATATCATCTTAATTCTGTGTTGACCTAAAAAGACTGGAAAAATGTTATTACATTATAAATTTGGAACAAATTACTTAAATATACTATGCACATTTTAAGTGTAATATTTTTTATTACAGGAATTTATAGAAATAGAAATCTATAACATTCTTACTGAACATGTTTTGTTTAAATAACTGAATATGTTTTGTTTAATTAAAAGAACATAAAAACTGTGTATGGAAATCTACATTCCTTATTTTGGGTCAAGTAAAGCTAGTCTTTTCTGAAAAAAAAAATACTGCCAGTTTTTAATGACACTTTTAATATTCATAGAGTGTTTACTTAAAGTGTTTAAAGCAATTACATATTTTTGTGAAGTCAAAACATGTATATTTTATATTCACAAAAAGTGTAGCAATTTATCAATATTTTCAAATTATGAGTATAGTATATCTTTAAATTGTTATATAGAGAATAACATGCTACTGTCTTTTGATATCAATTTTATCAGGCGAGGCTGATATGGGCTAGAAAGGGCGAGGCTTGCTGAGCCCTTTCTGCTCATATCAGCCAAGCCTGATAAAATTGATATCAAAAGACAGTAGCATGTTTTTCTATTTATCAAGTAACACATAATAACTGTCAAAATAACAAAATAACCTTCTTTAACATAGCGAATTTCGTTAAAAAGGGGGATTTTTGTTCAAAGAAATAATTCTTGAAAACAAATTCTTCGCCCCCGAAACTTAGAATTTGTTATTGGCGGCCATTTTTTCTTTCGACTCGAATAAAAGATACAACAGAATGTAGGCCTAATACGATAAAATTCTTACCTTTAATTTAAACATCGATCCAAAAATCCACTTAGAATCACATAAACTAAACTTAACTGCATTTTTTGTCTGGAATTGTCAAATTCAAAAGTTCATGATAGATCTAATTTCAATCAAAGAAAAGTCAAATCGGCAATCAAACACAAGCTACACAAACATGCGTCTTATTTTTTTAAACGAAACAATTTGTTAACTAATTAAATAATAATCCGGCGAAATAAAGTAAACATTTACAAGTTATGAAAGAAAATCGTCTAGCCTGTTTGTTATGATTACATGTATAGTATGACGTGAACATCGATGATGTCATTTGCAATATAAATTATGACGTCACTTCATTTAGTTGGTGCTAAAACTATTCGCTATCTAATTTATTCGTAATTGAAATTGAAATATTAAATATCGCACCTCGATTCAAGACTTGTAAGGGTAAGATGTTACATTGTAGGATTCACATGCTGATGAAAATGAGAATATAAGCAATTGAAAAAAGTCCGTTAAAATGGGCGGGGCTTATTTTTGATATCAGGTTACTGACCTGATATCAAAAATAATTATCAGGCAAGTGTTATCGGGCAGTTACCATAGTAGTTGCATGATAAAATAATAAAATCAAAATATCCCATTTAAAACTTTTAACTTCAAAGTGAATATGTTGCATGTAAAATCATTGTTTGTATTGTGATGAAAGTGATTTCGGAAAGACATTTATCCGTCTAAGAGCGAATTGTGCATGCTTTACCTATTAAAAATAGCTGCAGCTGAATATTTTGTCCGGAATATTTTATTTTGTTTACGCACACTATTTGTGTATATCAAATTACATACTGTAAACATTTTATTTTACAAATCTCTCATAAAACGAGTACAAGGCTATGAAAACAACATCAATTTACTGTCTTTTAAAGTTTTATAAAAATGTCACCAAACATAGCTTTATACACTTTAAGGCAAGCTTGGAAACATTAAAAAACCAGATAAAATCCTCCTTATAGAGGAAACATTGCAATGAAAATAAATGATTTTTCATGTTTTAAAGAGATATTATATTTTAAATTAACAATCATAATTGATTTGTGAGTCTTACTTTTTTCAGGGTGTCTTTGTGTCTGTCATGTTCTGCTTCTTTAATGGCGAGGTAAGTGAAATGAGAAGTTACCTGTTTTTATCACTTTAAGATATTCGTTTCAAGCTGCTATTATTCTTTTTATTAATTGTTAGATAATATTTTGATTATGAATGTTGTTTGTAAAACGTCGTGAATTAAGTGCGTTCTGATAGAAGTGATTCGTAAAATGTGTTTTGCATATTAAGCATGTTGTTTTTTTTTATATAAATTTCATTACCCTTTTATCCTTCTATTGTGTATCCAAATTAGTGAAAATATATTGTTTCGTTTAAACTGATTTGTGAATTTTAACAGTTTACAGTTCAAGATTGAGATATATTTAATATAACACGTTAAAGTGGTTTGAGAAAACAATACGTATAATGAGAAAAAATGAATTTTTATATTTTTTTTCACTCGAAAAATGTAAAATATAGTTTTCATCTACATTTTCAAAAGTAAATCAAATACTTTTCATTTCTATTATTATTTAATATCATTGGTTATGTCTAGTTAGATTACATGGAACTTTTTTTTAAATAGTTTGTAATAGTATTCTGATATTATCAAAAATATCAACAAAGTTGGTGTTATTATATGATTTATATTAATCATCAGTCACTTTTAGATGTGATAGTGTGTTATTTCTCTCGAGATTCTTTTTTGATAGATATGACAACCTTGAAAATTACATAATTACAGTCGACAATATCTTTATTTTATCATAGTTTGGAAACCATTCTGATGAAAAATTGTCAGAGATCCATAAATGCACAGTGCGTTAACTGGAGTGACGTTACTAATTACATGCACTCCAGTTACCACACTGTCTCGTAGATTGGCTACATTTTTTCAAGGGTTAACTAACTGTGTGGGATTATGATAGAAAAGTCATATTAATTTGTTACATTTATTCTGGGGTTTCTTATTGTGACGACAGAGAAAATGTTTTTATTTTTGTCTATGATACAAAAGAGAAAGAACACCAAAACACTCGGCCATCTTATTTTTACTCGTAGGCATATGCCGCCTCTACAAATTAGATTGCCTCGTGTTTCGATGCTATTTCTATTACGTAACGCATGAATATTTTTATCAACGTGTTATTTAAATATTTCTCAATCTGAGCACAATGTTGTCACATTATTTGCTGTTATGTTTATGCTTTGAAAATTTAAAACCTTCACAGGTGGTCAGAAATTTCAAGAAAAAGTGGCACCGTTACAGGATGACCAGATCTAAAAAATACCGAGACAGCATGACAGGCTTTAAACAAAATGGCGAAAGTCGTTCCATGTTGCGGTCAATGACTTCAGATGCAGATACAAAAATGACGGTGCATTCTGTCACAACAAATAATAATACCGTTTGAATGTCTTATACATCAATGTAGAAGATCTATTTTGAGTATCATTGATGAACAAATTGATATTTCTGTTGAGGCAGGACATCAAACAAAATGGCTTTCTTACAGTTTTGTAAAAGACACATGTTCTAAAGTATGATGCTATTGCAAAGACAGACAGTACATCTTGACGATTGAACAAAGTGTCAAGACTTCTAAAAATAAGCCATTATTTTCTTTTCACATGAGTAGAGTTAAAATGTGATCATGTTTGAGTGCCAAGACTGATTTATTTTCAGAGATAGGAGAACATTGAATTTAGCGATGTGACGTTAACACTCCGCGAAGAAAAAACAAACTTTGGAAGGATTGCCTCTCAAGAAACCATATTTCTATAAAACAAAAAAAAATATGCTCTACAATAATTGTGTTTTATGTTTCTAAGTAATGTTATTACGAACACAATGTTTTATTCCTAGATAAACAATGAGCTGATCAGCTAAAATGACAGTATAATTGATGGGCAATTAGATCGTGAAGACAACACCTTGTTGCTCTTGCACATTTCTGTGCTTTTAAGCGATATATAGTTACTTTAATAGACAATTTAATATTGCATCGCTCATGTATTGGTTTGTTGTGTCGTTACCTAGGAACAATCTGCTAGCGTTCTGTCCAGATATGTCAAATAAAAACACGGAAACAAAATGTGGATATGGTCTGTCATACAGCGATAGTTTTTCCGAAATGCTTGGTGCATTCCGTGACAGTCTGGTTTGAATAAAATGTCGTATATATGGAGTCAAATCTCAGCGGATTTATAGACCTAATTGAATAAAACCTGAATGATAAATGTACTTACCAATGTGATAACCATAAAACCACGTGGCATATGGATGAACAAACTTTCTTTTAAAAATTAACAACATCAAAGAAAAATATAACAGTGATTGCCCAATATGGGGAGCATTCGGGTTCACTTTTGATTCACAAAAAGCTTTTAATTTCATTTTGTTTTTCGATCATAATTTCTATGTTTTTTAATTTTTTGGTTCATTTGCTCAACATATAATCAAGAATTGTTTTATTTTATATTCATTTGTTTCGTAAGCCGAACAATCAAATGCATTTTAATATGTCTACATTTTTCGGACTAATTTCTAAACTGTCTTGAATTGAAATGTATACTGAATAAATTTGCTCATTTTTATATTCGATATTCAAAATCAATACTGTTCAGGTTATTAATGAGGAGTGAAATAAATGAAAAATTTCATAACTATCATAAGGAAAACATATACAATTTTCTTATGCTTTATGTCGCAATCAGGCACATGATGGTAACAATTCTATAAACTGATTTTCTGTTCCATATTTACATCATTTAAGATATAATACATGTATTTTAATATTTTTGTCCTTAAAGTGTTCCGCTGTTAACTCATTGGACGTTTGAAAATGAACATACTAGATGATCCAGACATCATTCCTGCTATTTTAAATAACGAACAAAAAATATCTAAGCCGTCAATTCTTATACACAAACTGTTTTGTAGAAAACGTTAAAAAAAGAAATTCAATAAGATTTGAGGAGTCACTTTGTTTCTGCTACTTGTATAATAGTTATTTTTTGTCAGCAACGACCTTTGTCTGCATTGTATTATTTGTCAAGATATGTGTGCGATGTTTCCTACAATGTTTCCATAATCGGTTTTAATATTTTCCGACGAAGAAAACAGGCGATTTTTTTAAAATTACACTGTTAAACATTTGTCTGTCTGAATATCATGATATTAAGTATTGATTTTCTGATATTATTTTGTTGACTTTGATGTTAATTGTATCTGACAAAGACACATTTTATTGTTGTTTATGTAAATGCAATATCTCATTTATTGTTGTAATAAATACTTTGATGTTTAGATTGTTGCTATTTTTCTTTTTTCTTTTATATGAAATAGAAATAGAATGTTTCTGTTTACATGGAAACTGCGTTTCCTTTCATTGAAAAAAATATTGATGCCAAGATTTGTAATTTGTATTGCGAGGACGGGAAATATTAGATAAAATATTTATAATTAAGCGACGAACACCTCTTCCCGATTTACTTCAGAATCATCTGGAAAATAAAGAAAAAAGATTGAATGAAGCTCTACCAAGTGAATTTCGAAGAAGTTGTTATCTTCGTAACACGCTGCTTAGGTATTGCATTAATGTATTCTTGTAATTACTCTTATTTTTCTTCCATTGTATATGCTTAAGTCATGTGTTGCATGGTTAAAAGTTTTTGTATTAAAAAGATTACAAATGTATCCAATGCTTTATTAGAGCTTATAGTTTATGTCTTGCGAATGCCGTTGCCATTTCTATTTTTCATGAAATGTAATAAAGGAATGAGTTTTTTTTTTAGGTTTTGACCTGCTTTGTTTAAGATATACTTAAAATGGGATATACTTACCATATCATGTACCAGATATGATAATTATTATTTAAACTTTAACCTTTGAAATTAAATTAAAATATAATTTGTCGTTTCTTATCCGGACATGCTTGGCTATTTTTGTCTGAAGTGTATTTGCTGTTGTTTTTTTCCTAATATAATCTACTTTTAATAATTTTTGACATTAATACATCAACAAGGAAAAACGCTGAAATACCATAAAGAAAGACATTCTTCATAACGTCAAGTAACGTTATTCGTGTTATATACCTGTATCAACCTTTTGTTAGCTCTAGTTAAGCCAAGTTCGATGTATTTAGACGCAGCATTTGTCCAAATATTAAAATGTAAAAAAACTTTCTTCAATAGCCTTAATAAAGATCCGTATGAACTCAAGAGCATAGCTATGAACATATATAAAACAGCAATATGTTATTTTCCCTCTAGGTTATAACAATACTAAGAAGACATGTCACTCAATGTGATATGTTCAGCCGGCAGGGAAGTCGTCGGATTTACGGTGGCCGCCGGAAAAGTTCCACTTTAACATTCACGTTACCGGATATGCCTAATGGCAAAGGGATTCTCAAGCGAAATGGGCCTTATTATTCTGAGAATTCGGTGTCTTACAACGGGGTCAGTAGCAAGGTGTGTATAATATTCTAAAGGCCAATTATGCCTCAGAAATACTTTTATTTTCATATCTCAAAACCTTTATATTTTGTTGTACTTTTATAGTATCAAAACAGTTATTCATTAGCAAATTTCACTGTAGCAGAACAATCTTTTTCATCTGTTGATTTTTAGCAATAAGTACAGTAAAAGTGAATTAGTAATTTTGTATGGAAGTCAGACTACTATTTTTTACATTTTGCTACTTTTATGACAACTTATGTCACATTAATCGTTACGTTCTAAGGTAATAAGCGTCAAGAATTCTCTAAAACAATTTTTAAACATTATAAACATTCATGTTTGCCCTTTTTAAAGAAGTAAAACTTTATTCTTTTCTGAGGCATAATGTGTCCTTAAAAATATCAGCTATTCTATCATTTATGTAGATGATTGACGTCAATATTTTCAAAAAGATTTTTCTAAAAACTACAAGTACAAGTAAATCTATGAGATCGAGGTCAAAATTGACTGACATAATACCCTCTATTCGATTAAAGTTTCTTAATTGGAAGTGTGTTTGATTTATACGTTCACTTTCTTCACATCAGTCAAAAGAGACATTCAATTTCCGAAGTCCATGGTGCAATATCTTCCTACCAAGATTATGTGAGATTTTAGCTATGGTATTTGCATACAAATTTGGCTCGAGAAGAATCTGATTGCATCAGTTTTTATCTACAATCATCAAACATAAAGACCTCTGCATACTAGAGCATGATTATTTTTCTACATAAAGTTTCTCTTGGCATTTTATGTTGAAGGAAATGTTTCGTTCATTTCTTTTTTTAGTCAAATACTTTAAATTGAGCGATTAAACCAATTGTTAATATTTCATTTTTAAGTCATAAATCTAACTTTGTATAACGTCAGTTCTAGTTTAATTTAAAACTGGTGAAGCGGGCTTCTGTTAATGTCTGTATAATTATAGAATTTTCCAAACCTTTCAGTAAAATATTTAAAATGACGTTACTGTCTTTAGTATAATTTCTTATTAACCAGTGTAACGTTTGTTCACACCATTCTATATCTTATTTACTTTTGTTTATTATAACAAAACTATTTGTAAATATAAGTAGCATTACAAAGAAAGATCTATATAACGGAGACAAAAATATCCATTGCATAATTGCGACGTCTCAGTAAAAACCGTCTCACGAATTTACGATATATTTATTTTGTGACCTAATTGGTTTGCAAAGTTTATCTATTACAGACAATTGTCTAAAAGTGTTAATAGTTTATTTTGCTTCCTAATCAAACCAAATAAATGATTTCTTAGGAAAAGATGTCCATGCATGTCAGGCTATTATGCACCGTGTTTTTCTATGGCGTTATTTTTATCACTTTTCTTATTTGTTATTGTTTTTATACAGATGAACACTGAGTCATTCATGATGACGCCGCTGACAGAGGAGCGTACTTACAGAGAAGTAGAGGAGGGTTACGTGTAATTGGACATTTGACAAGATTATATAACAAGTGTTTGTCAATGATAGATGCTATTTTCACAAGATATCATATACAAAAACTCATTTTTAAATAGTGAGGTGTTTGATTTAAAATAATGTTTTAAAGATTAATTTTGAACTAAAACTAAATTTGTTTTGGACTGTAACTTAATATACGCTTGTATACTACCTATAATAACAGTTAATGTAATACTGAGAGACGAATGATCGTTTTAACTTCGTCTTCCTGAACTTGATATTATAAATCCAATATTAAGGTAGAAAATCTGAAACATTTCTTCTTCATTTCGTCTAATGCGCTGTAGTATTTGAATTGTTTATTGAAGATTTTATAATAGACGAATGATACCATCATAAGCACTGTCTTAAAGAAAGCGAAATATATTAACATGTATTAATTCATGTACCAGTGTTGCAATATTGAACTACAAAGTTGTTTATTATTTTATTAACCATACTGGTTTTATACATGCAAATAAAAATATTTAGACCAAATGTTTTAATAATAAAAAAGGTTTCAAATATTCCATTATTTTTTAGATGGGACGATTGGTATACATGACTATATATAAATTGATATGATTTTGTTATGCTGGCATTGATATGCTAATATACATGGTATCATATGATTACGGTGTTATGTGTACGTACATTATCTTAAATATTTAGCAAGTTGTATATGTAATGAAGTGTTGCGGCTTAAGTTATGTGTTGTATTGAATAAATTATTTTCAAACGTTTAATTCAGATATTGTTTTTATTTGTCATCAATTTTAAACGTCGCAGTGTAATCTATTCTAAATGTAGGAGAGAAAAACAGTCCACAAGGTGTGTGGTTTCATTAGCTGTCAAAACATATAAATGTAAAATAAAATTGAAATACGGGTCCCAAAATTTTAAAAATAATTGCAATTAAAGTAAGAATTAAAAATATTATTCTGTTAATCTGGATACCAGACGTTCGTTACCACATATTAATTAAAGGTTAATGTTTTTAAACATGTCTCATTCATTTTCGTACAGGTGACAAAGATATGATTAAAAAAAGAACATTAGTCTATGTTTTTTTACACTTCATTCATTTCTGAAATCCTGAGAGCCATGTGTTTCTAGGGTAAAACATTCTGTCCCTGCAGCGAACATATTCATAACAAAACAAAATAAAATAATACTCAGTCTTATTTCGTTTATTAGCATGGAAAAAAAAATATGTGAACTTTCTGAAAGAAAAGTTATACGTTTGACCAACAGAGTAAAGATAAAAAGATTCTCTGAAGAACGCCCAAACTGACAAACGTGACAATGTTTGTTTCAATGAGTTTGTTCTTTGGCGGTAATGACATGGGTCTTACGTGACTTTATCAGTTTCAATTGATAATATAAATACTTTTACAATCCGTTCATAGTTTTTGGAAATTTCTTTTGTATCCTCAGTCGGGTCTACCAATAAACTGACATACCAAACCTACCCGAAAAAAAACTTTAGAAAACCTCAGGTTTGCATTGAATAATACATTATTTTCGGCGTTCCAAAACGGTAACATTTCAATTAAAAAGTGAAATGAAATCAAATGATTTCTTGGCATTCAGTGATAGAGCATGAATAGTTTACTAATCCCTAGGTAGATTATAATTTTTATTTGTTAACATAACATATAATTACCCTCTTCACACTTGAAAAGGAATCTGATATATTGCTATGTTTATTCATTATCTTTTGACATTTTTATCTTTAAATTTCGCCGAAACAATCCTGTTACGTTTTTATTAGAAATCATCCTTTAGATTTGAAATATTTGAAATATTTTAACCTATCAAATTTACTAAAAAGTAAAGAACACGGTTTCAATACATTTTGTTTTCAAACAAAGGAGCGTCTTATGAAAGTGAAGAAACAGGTTCGTGTTGTGGAAATTGTTACCTAAAATATTAAAATTATGTATACAAATATACGCAAGAGTGACATATCTATGTTATCTTTCTTTGACACGACATCATAAAAAATGCAAAGAAAGTAATGATGTTTTTGTCGAAATAAACTTGAGGTTTTTTTTAAATAATTTGAACGAAAAGGATATCGGTTACAAAATAAGGTTTAAAATTAAACAGACATGCTCTATTATTTGTTTGCATGGATTTCATACCAATCGGTGTAATTCGAGTAACGATTGAAACGGTCAATAAATGCAACAAACATGACATCCAATACATGTATCTTTTTTGGAAAAAGAGAGATTGCTGGGAGTTACGTCGCACCAACACAGTATATGTCATATGACGACTTTTCAGCTTTACTGGTGGAGGGAGACCTCTGGTGTCCTTCCGTGCATTATTTCAG